TATATTTTCATAAGTACTTGTACAAGTTACAAAAGCAGCTTTCAATTGAACTTGATCTTCACTTCCTTAGACTCATGTTGTCTGTTTAACAACTAGTAGAACTTCTTTTCGAGGTTAAAGGTATTCATTAAAGAGGTATATCGATTTGGGTGATTTACAGATCAACCAATTGTTTCTTGTTCATGTGATTCTAGAGATTGCAATGAAGGATTTTTTTTAATGTTTACACTTTGTGGAATAGTCAAACAACTTACAACGAAACATTAACTACCTGTATTATTTCATCACTAAAAGCTAATATAACGATTAAACGTATTTTGCTTTTGGTTGACTGTGATACGCTACGCCGTGAACTAGACACGAGTTCGAAGTTGACTACCTTTAGCCATATCGCCATTATCCACTTCGGTAAATAATAATAACTGTAATATAAATAAAATATCAAAAAATAATCTACGAAGTATTATCTACTTTCTCTAACTTTATTTAATGATTAATCAAAGTAAATCTCGCATTTACCTTTCGTTTAACACAGTTTTATTTTCGTTTACCAATAAGATCATAGAGTAATAAGGCTGAGACAAACTTCTCAACTAATCGACGCTTACCTAATATGTACGTCCAGACACTATTGCCCATTTACACTACCCGCTCACACAAACCCCGTTACTAATTAATGTAATAGCAATACCATAAAGGCAAACAATATCACCATTGAAGGCTTATCGCTATTACATGTTATGATTTATGTATGGCCAATAAATTCATCAGTAACGAGTTGTTATTAGTAAGAATAAAACAAACGGTTAGCTACATTACAGGCGTTAGCTAACGACAACAATGGAATGGACCATAGAAAAGTTTGCTACCAAAGCTATTTCAACAACCGAGTATCCTTTGAAGCACTTAGAATAAGGCGACAAGATACGAGTTTTTCGGTGTCAATCTATCCTCCTTAAATTTTCAGCTAGCCCCGACCGCATAACGGACCCGCACAATCTTTTAATGACTAACCAAGGAAATGGTCGCAATAACAAAGTAATAATACACCTGTTTTCTGTACGCTGCAATGAGCAAAAGTTCTGAAAGGATAGAATCACTCAATGATTACCGTCACGTTATGTACGTGCGCTGAAAAAATATATGAAGCAGATTTTTGATGCAATTCCGATTTTCGGATGCGGGTCCAGTCTACAGAATACAAAAACCGTTTTAGACTGGCGGCAAACAAGGGAAACCGGAAGGTATCTGGGGGAAATCTAAGCCCCTTAGTAGCCTTGCCACAGTGCAACCTATATTGACGGAAAGTACCCTCTCTACATTGTCGAATCATTGACATAGTGCAAGAAAATGACAGTCGTTGTGACTGACGACTTTTAAGCTGAATCCTTTATTTGCAAATCCATTCATTAGACTTCTTCGCGCGTTACAGGTTCCGCGACGCTACTGGTTGTGTACGCAAGAGAAAAGGTCGGACGCTGTGAAGCTGTCAGCTTTGAGAATGATTACTGCACAACAACTGCAACATACAGTCAACTATTATAGGACTGTAAGCCACAATAAATTTATAGAAAACTTATAGAAAATGCAATCTCAATTACCAGAATTTGGCATAAAGGATATCATCAGTCCTAGTTGTTTGCGAACTGCCATAAACCTGAGCTTTGAAAACTCATAATGTCCTGGATAAGAACCGTTGGGCGAAGATAGGCGCTCTTCCGGTTCTAATAAGGAATTCCAGCAAATATTTACAGTATACAGATGTGACTTTTTGTTAAAAATGTCGAGTATAGAAAATTATTATATTAATAGCCATACATGGCAGGTATAGGGAGAATTACTAGGACTTGTAAAAAAAATCTACCAAATTAAATTCACACTTTCATTTTAAACCTATCTTTAGTCAGCTCGTCGCTAGCTTAAAGTTAAATCTCCAACTGACAAAGATTCGAGGTTCCTGATTGAGATATGATATAGGAAAGGGCGTCCATAAGGCAAACGAAGTTCAAAGAGAAATTACTATCGATTACTTTCAGGAGCGTGCGTCTTGACTATCGTTTTGGGATAGCTCCAATATACCCCAAGCTTTAAGTACCAGGCAAAAGAAAAGACTTTCAAGCTCGGCTATTAATATTTGGAAGATTCCAGATATGCCATTTAAGCTTCGTATTATCATTGTATTCTTCCAAATGCGCTTAAGAACAACTAACCACGTGTATATACAAGAAGTTCTATTACTTAAGATAGAAGCGAGTCAAATGTCTCATAAAACGAACACTAACTGCTTGAGTAATTATAATTACAGAATAGACAGGTGATTATCTTATTACCTTAGCGTCACCACATTTAACAGTTGCTGAGAGCATCGACACAAGTTTCCTTTCGCACACTCGCCGCTATTAACATTAGAAACGTTTATGTCTTAAGTTGTTTTTTTTACTTGATTTTTACATTTAATTTTTGTTGTTTTATTTTTGTTTCTTTGCAGTTCTTCAATTCTGCCAGAACTGCGTGAAAATATGATCTCTGTAGTTAATCAGATCGACCCTTTTTACGTCTTGGAGCACCGCAATCTTGTAGGATACTGGCATTCGCGACAGGTAGAAACAATTTTTGCTAAAGAAAATCATCCCAATGAGCTAACCTACCGCAGTTAACAGAAGTCTGATTTCTTTTGACCAATGACGTTTTCTCTAGTTGACGAACCAAATAGGCAAAAACTTTGAAAACAGTGACCTACTTCATAGGAAGAAGCCTTTGTTTTACACGACGAGAGATACCGCAGCAAAGCCGCTTACATTTACGTTTTATTGCCTGTGAAAAAAAAGCCTATATTAAACATTTTGATAATGTACGCTTGTCAGTAAACAAATAATTTCCGATCACATGAAGCTTTGAGGAGCCGGCAAAATTTCAGGTAAACTTAACGCAGCCATGGTAGCAACATACTATCCATATACAAATAGAACGATAAAAAAAATACTGCAGAGAAAATTCGCTTTAAGCTCGCGGAACTTCGCTTTATCTCGCGCAGGATTGCAAAAGTTTTCAAGCATTCGTTAAATCGGTACCGCATATAATTCACTTGGCAATTAAGTTTATCATATGTTGAACTGATAGTTATTCCTCAAATAGATATTCTTCGGTTTTCGTTTCAGCTAAGACAGCAGTTAAGACTTAGCTACGTCGGCGGAAACAAACCCAACTGACTCGCCCGCACTCGATCCACATTTGTTAAGATCTAGCTTAGTAGTGTTTGGCCGTTCGTAAAGTGCACTGCTCACAGCCTCTATTAAAAAAGATTGTAAGCTTGGTTGAATCCGATAGCGAACGAAACAACACCTACGAGCAATGGTACTTAAGCACAATGGTACTGAACAAATAAAAAAAATTACACCCAATGGCGAATGGCAGAGCGCATAAATGAATAGGGACGTAATTATAATAATGTGTATAATAATTACGTTTCGCAATTCCTTATTTTGGTATAAGGACATCGTGCTTTATTCGCACTTGATCCTTGTCATAATGCCAATCGACATTTATTATCTTTTTTTTTGCAATTATCAACCTGTGAATCAGATGCACAGCTGGAACTTATTTTCTATGTTATAACCTGAACTTTCAGTTTAAATGAAGTATACTAGAGTCGTAGATAGGCGTGAACGTT